AAGACATATATGACATATTAGTCACCGCAGTCATATTCGTCATCTGAGTCATCCATGTCATCTTTGTGTAACAATATTATAAGTTATAATATTTTAAGTTGATAATAAATGGTTTAAAGTGATTTATTATATTAATATAGCATATAAGTCATCAGTAAAATAAGAGATTTAAATAGGATTAACTTAAAAAAGAATATAATTTTTAAAATATTAGGATTTTATATTAATGAGAAAAAATAAAATTTATGTAAAATATAGTTAAATCAAAATAAATTCCAATATGATATTACCAATTAATGATTAGGCGAACTAAAATATGTAATTAATTGAATAGTAGTAAGAATTAGCTCAATCTTTATTAAGTTTTGGGAGAGACTTTGGTTAATTCAGGCTATTGTTAACTTCAGTATTCTTTCATGGTAAAATTTTAGAATTGGCAAGTGTAACGACTTCCAATTTATCATATAAGACAAGTAATTTTCTTTAAGGTAGGAAATTTTTAATTGATGTTACAAAATTTGTTTATAATTGAGTTAATTGCACAAAATAGTTGATGGCATTTAAGTAATTTAAAGATTACTTAAAACTAGATAACACAAAACACAGATGATAATGATAAGTAATTAATAATTATTTAACCAAAGTTAACATAAAGCAATTTTAATAATGTTAAGTAATCTAATATTATTTAACCAAGGTTAACACAAAGCAGGTTGATAGCATTAAGTAATCCAATATTACTTAACTAAGGTTAACACAAAGTAGGTTTGACACAAAGCAATTTGTTTGTTATGAAACAATTTAGTAAATAGTTTTTATTATCTTATAAAATTAACTTTCTAAATTTCTGTCGAAAACTCAGCTTATTTATAACAAAATTTCTACACTAAATCGCTATCTATTGCATAAAAACTAAGTAATAATTTTCTCATCTTTCTCTATGTAATTTTGTTGCAATAATTGAGTAATGACTACCTAATTGCTATGCAATAGTCCTATAACTACTAGGTAACAGGAACTGTTAGAGCGTACGAAGTATTTAAAACTTATACAATCTGCAGTGATACAACTCTAATCAAAATAATCTATAAGCCACAAATACCATTATTAGATTAGCATTTAGATAAAACTGATAGAAAAAAATTATTTTAGGAATTTTAACGAAAGTTGTATTAGAATTAAAAAAGTATTTTATTTTCATCTTGTTATCTGATCATTATCTGTTTCAACTTGCGGTATTATAGAAATTAAACGTTTCTCTTCAGCCAATCTCTCTTGTAGTCTCTTATAAGTTTTGATATACTGCAGTCTTTCAAACAAAAATGGCCTAAAAGAATATTTTGGAGAGCACAAACCCGTGAAATTGTCACGAAAAGAAGTCCAGCAGCAAACTCTTTTTTCTCAAGTTTTATTACAGCCTTTTACCAAGTTAGCCCTTAACTTTATGAATTATTATAGCCCAAGCAAGGCAAATTGGAACTTGCAATCGTGAGCAAGTTCCTCTCTTTCTATCAGAACAAAATCCCAAGTGCCATAAGGTCTCAATGTAAGTTTAACATGATTGTTCTTAGGTCATAATTTTTACATGATTAAATTATTAATACTGTATATTTTATTCTCTTGTTATCATATAAGCTTGCGTATTGGAGTATTCTCGATTTGATGAATGAAAGCCTGCACATGTAAACATTTTACAGAAATCGACATGAAGGAATTGAATCAAGAATTCTCGATTGTATTGGATGGATTGATACACCTGCTGAAGAAATTATTCACCAATACTTCGACAATAACTGTCAACGAATTAATGATAAAAATTTGAAAAGTTAGATGACAATATACAATTCATAAAAAATAATATGTGTTCCTTTCAGGGAATATTGACAGAAAAAGAACTCAAAATGAGCTCATCGTTTCCTTTATTTTGAGGCATTTTTACATCTGATCACATAAAAGATGTTTGGTAAGTCTCTTTATTTATATTGATTTTTTAGTAGGACTTAAAAAAATATTAAATAATAAACAACTCTTTAATATGTAAGGGAGAGGTACAAGCTCTAATAACGAACGATGCTTGAAATGAAAAACAAAATCCATTTCAAAAGGCCCATATTGGAAGAAAAGTTGATATAAAGTGTATTCTGATCAAGATACCTAATAAGTTCAAAGTTTTTTATGGGAAGATTTTGGTAGGATTAAGGTCTTTTGGACCTTTAGCTTATCGCAAGAAATGATTCCTTGGTAAAGTAAAGCTAATGGTCACAATACGAGATAGTCTAAATAGTTTACTAAAGAAATACAAACACATCTTGATAAACAATGTACAGACATAATTGTTTATGGTTAATTTCAAGTCGGTAAGTTCTAAACAGTTACTTTATTTGACATGAATTTTAATTAAATCAAATATGATATATAGATTTGGATTACTTGACCAGTGTATTATACCTTCAAACAAAAATAATTGTAATATGATTGAAGATGCTTATTGTATCATTAAAACGCTTGAGATAAGACTATTGTTTTTTTTGTTTAGTGACTAGCCAAATAAGATTTATCTCATATTCATGATTAATATAGATTAAATTGCTACAAACTGAAATGTGTTTTTATCCTGCTGGTTGAGGTATCTATCAACATTTTCCAAAATACTCCTTATTTTTTTATTATGCTTTCATTCACAGACTCGTATCAGGCATGTCTCACACTATTCTAGAGTTTCAACTGACTTTTTCATACGTTTATTTTCTCGATCTTTCATACAACGTATCTCATAATGATCAATCAATTCATTTTCTCTGGATTTGCATTTTCAAAGGGTGGATCAGTCAGAAATTTTGTGTAATAATAAAGTCAGTTTAGAAGATATTAAATGATTTATTGGAATTTAATTTATAAAGAAAAATTAAAATTATTTTATTTAATTAGATAAGTTATATATATCATTAAAAATACTTT